CCTATCCCAAAGATGGGTTGGGGTATAGAAATATGGTTTACCATCCGGCGTTAAAAAAACTAGAACAGAGGGGTCCGATTGGCTGTGCGGGGTGTATACATTAGAGGCAACAGTAATTTACCTATTTTTAAACCTAATAAATCTATTAAGAAACAAATCAAGATAAATAAAAACAAAAACTGTGGATAGACAGGGCAAGCGTCTCCTGCTATGCATCACCAGCCATGCGAATCCACATTCAGTCAAAATGTCAAATAAGAGAATAGGATACAATCAGTTAATGGGGCCGGTATCATGAAGCAATCTTAGTGCTTAAGATAATCTTAAGATCATCTTATCTGATAAGAGTGTATATTGAAGTAATCAAAGAATGATTGACAGCCCATAAAATTCATGTCCCACTCGCAACCCTAAGAGTACTCTTTATCCTTCTCGGAACGTTCTCTTAGTTTTAATCTTATCGACTGGGTATCTCGAACGTCGATAATCAACTTAAGATCGTCTTTGATTACTCTTAGCAAATTTTAAGTGTATCAGCATTCTTTTTTTACTGAAAACTGAACAGAAAATTCTAAGAGTGGTCAGGGGCACCCCTAAATCTCTCTTAGTTGATAAAATAGCGCTTGTAATGTTCTTGCATATGCGTTCAAGAGAACAAAATAGGATATCCAAAAGGGTCTTCAGAGATCGAACAAATCCATTGGTTTTCCTAGACGACCGTAAAATTGTCCGTGATTACAGAATCGGAAAATATCCCTAGTAACAGCATTTTGTTCTGCTGAATAGCTGTTAGCATTGTTTCCAAATCATCATTGTTAAAGTTGGCTTTTCTCATAAAAAAAATACAGAGATGTGGTATGATTGCCAATGAGACAACTTTCTTCCAAAGTCCAAATGAAGTTGATGTAAGCAATTATAGACAACTTTCAACAATGATACAAGACAAATATCAAACAATTCAACTGAGAAAACCAACGGCCTAATTTATAATAAAACAATTACGAAAAAATAAATATGACAGACACGAACCAACAGCAACAAGTCCATTAAACTACAATCTCATGACTTGGGACAGGCACATAACGAATGTGCCGGGGTTAAACATGTTTGTGAGCGCTCAGTCCTTCCCTAGTTGACAGTGGAGTTACAGCACAATATAAGAACAAACTATAAAAATCAGTTGAAAAAAAGGCTTAGCTCATCAGATCGATACAAAGCAGAAAAACTTCAAACAAAAACACAAACCGAACGTTGCAGGGTATTTATACATCCATAACAACAAAAAAGACACAAAGTACAGATTTGAGAGTACTCGCAGTTACTGACAGCTAGCTCAAAGCCAATAACAAATTATAAAAAAAATCATGTATCTAAGACTAAAATGTCAATCACTACACACACAACATCCAATGGATTTAGTGTAAAGACGCCATTAACAGTCAGAGGAAAAAATGACCTTGCATGTGCAATGCCAAAATATAGATATCGACAGATTGTAGTATCGTGATCGTGCATATGTGTAAAACAATAACATTTATTATGGTTTTAATTTACTGATAACAACATCAATATTTATACCAATACAAAAAAAAATTATATTCAAAGATATAATTACACTCAATGTTGAATTGGTAACCTTTTAGAATAAGTTTACTCAGATCGTATCTAAATTTCGGAGCTCGGTAAACAAAATCACCGTAAAAGTTTTGCTGTGTTATTCTGTTTGAATTAAGTTTTCTACAGGTACAGCCAAACCTTTTTAAATCAAATCTTTGTATCTTTAGAAGAATTTAATAAAGGTTTTTAATGATTTGTGGTAACGAAATTCATGACTTAATAATTAACCAGTAATATATAGATTACGTTCATTAAAATCCAAAACGTTACTACAGACACGGGCATACCGAACGAGTTGGGATTATATATAAACACCGCAAGACGTTGCCAAAGGAACATCACCGTTCAAAAAAGAAAAAAATAACAATAGGGAAAGACAAATTGTCACTTGTTTTCTTCGGACCGTTTGGAGCACCTCCTTCTGCCATTTTTGTTTTAATTCAATGTTTGAAAAATATTTCGTTAATATAAAAATAAGGAGATATGGTATGATTGCCAATGAGACAAATATCTACCAAAATTCAAATGAAGCGGATATAAGTAATTATAAGCAATCGTACGGCCTTTAACAATTACTTTGGGATACCATACGGCAAATTTTGTTAATAGTGAACAAAAAGGTAAAACATGCTACACAGTGGAACAAGTGATCAGTATGCTGGAGTTTCTTATTGACAACACATTTTCAACAAATTGTCGGCATTGTTATGGTCACGAACTGTGTGCCTCTCATTGCCGACCTCTTCTTATTTTCATATGAGTCGGAGTTCTTTCAGACACTTGTCAAAACAAGAAGATCAAAGAAGCCAGATCATTTAATATCACATTCACATATAATGATGATGTTCTTTCCATTAACAATCCAAACTTTTCTGATTGGGTTCCATTAATATATCCTCCAGAACTAGAAATTAAAGAAACAACAGACACGGCTTCCTCCGCCTCTATTTTATACTTATACCTCGAATTAAACATAAGCGGTCATCTCAGTACCGGAATCTATGACAAGCAAGACGATTTTAATTTTGAAATTATGAATTTCCCCCACCTAAGTAGCAATATACCAACTTCACCTGCATATGTGATATACATTTCCCAACTCATTCGGTATTCAAGAGCTTGCAGCTGCTACTCGGACTTTATAAAACGTCACCAGTGTATGAGCAGAAATTTGATGAACTAGGGTTATGTCAAAGAACGTATCGTCCTTTTTCTAAAAAAAAGTTCATCTGAAGATACCAAGACCTTGTTGATAACTTGATGATATTCCGTATCAACTTCACAAATAATACATGATGGTCTTGAAGTATAGATTCTAGGTACTGACGTTGTTTATTGTCTTAATTAAGTGTTACAGTGTTCTTTAATTTATCTTAAGTTTGTACATTATTAACCTCTACTATTTAGTCAAATTTTGGTAATATCCTTTTGGCGTGGCTCGGTACTTATACATTCCGCCATTGTGTTATTGTGCTATGGTCATTTTTTGTATTCTTGTCTTTCTCTTTTGCTTATGTGCTTTTTCTATGTGCCATTTTGTTTTTCCTTGTTGATATATTTGTTTGTTTTTATAGTGATTAAGATAATAACACAATGTTGACTGCTATTATGTCTGTTTGTTTTGTTCACACATTGTTATCAATATAATGGAATTATATGCGACTGTCATACAAGTGAGAGGTTTAGCTAGCTATAAAACCAGGTTTAATCAACCATTTTCTGTATAAGGAAATGCCTGTACCAAGTCAGGAATATGACAGTTGTTTTCCATTCGTTTGATGTGTTTGAGCTTTTGATTTTGCCATTTGATAAGGGACTTTCCGTTTTGAGTTTTCCTTGGAGTACGGTATTTTTGTTATTTTACTTTTTATTGAGTGGCTGGACATAACCAATATACCTGAAAGCGAAATTAAAGAACGTTGCAAGATGCTTGTTTTGTCTACAAGAAGGTTCTGAATGAGTTATGTTTCCTATGAGTACAACAATAAGTCGGACAGTAAGGTTGCACAATAAGAATCCATTGGAATATCCACTGTCTGTTGAAATATCAATTAACAAACTCCACCAAATATGTTGTTAATCAAAAAGTCCAGCATATTTTATATTATGGGTGGCCTCGCTGGTCGAGTGGTCTAAGTAGTTATAATACTGTACCACTAGCCCAACACTGGTGTTGTGCGTTTGCGTCCAATCTCAGTTGACTAGGATTGCCTGTTTTCCAGCAGAGGGTCGGTGGTTCTCATCGGGCACTCCAACTTCCTCCACCACTAAAAACTGGCCGCAAAGAAATAGCAAAAAGTGCTTAAAGTGGCGTAGAAACACCAAAACTTAATCAATCATTATGATAGTATCTAGAGGTTGGTATGAGTGTGGTTCATAGCAAAGTTATTTTTTTCATGAGCTAAACTAGAGGCTTTAAAGAGCATTTGTCACTTACCTGCATCTTCAACAATTGCCACTTTGAAGTAAAAATCACCATAAAAGGGAAATAACTCTATTAAGAGTTCACTGACAATTACAGTCATTTTGACATGTTTGTAGATCTTGTACTGCTGATAATTTTCATTTTAAAGTTTCTATTTATCTATTATAGTTTTCAAGATAATAGGCAAAAAGTGCATAAAAAATATCATTTAAAAAGGTAATTACTCAAATAACGAGTCGACTGAAGATTTCGGCCATCATTGCACATTTGTAGATCTTATCTTGCTGATCATTTGTGCTATTTAAAGTTTCTATCTATCTATAACAGTTTTCAAGATAATAGGCAAAAATGCGAAAAAATGGGGAAATCGTCATTAAAGGGCAAATCACTTCAATAAGGAGTCGACTAACGATTTCGGTGATGTGAGCTAATTTGTAGATATTGTCTTGCTGATCATTTTTGCTTTTTAAAGTTTCTATCTATTATCGTTTTTAAGACATTAGGCACATATGAAAAAAAAAAGTTAAAAATCGTCATTAAAGAGCAAAAACTCTAATAAGGAGTCAACTGAAAATTTCGGCTATGTTGACTTGTATGTTGATCCTGTCGTGCTGATCATTTTTGCTTTTTAAAGTTTCTATCTATCTATTATAATTTTCGAAATGGGCAAAAAGTTTTAAAATGGTCAAATTTGTCATTTCAGGGCACTAACTCCTATAAGAAGTCGTCTGACAGTTTTGACTTAAATGGACAACAGGTAGGGCTGCAAAACCGGGTCAAAACCCCTTTCATTCAAAAGTGTCTGTACTTTGATACATGTAATAACTAGCCAATTGCTCCTGTGAGGATGCTAGTAGTAAGTTGAGATTTCCCTAAAACTGACTATATATTTTGTTTTTTTAATATACCTTGAAGGTTACTTTATTTGTTATTTTTGGTCAATAATTCAATACATACATGCATTTTCAATATTTTTATTCAAAACAAAACTGAAAATGTGATATAACATTGATTTGTACACGAGTCACTTAAAATGTATCTTATGAAAATTGAACATATTATTCCACCTCATTGTAACAATATTTTCTCAATAGCAAAGATTAGTACTCTAAATTAAACGTTTATTTTTTAGAAAATTTGCATTAAAGTACATGTACTTGGCAAATATCTTGGAAAAAAATTTCTTTTCAAATGTATATTTGTTATAGCACCTTGTAACACTACTTTGATGATGATGATGATGGATGGCTGCTTAACGTCCAGAGGCAAATTAATATGCATATTCAGAATGAGAACATGTTAATGTTATATGAATATTAACCCTGTTTTGTACTAGACCGACACGCTGAGCTGGATTTTTTAGCATGCTAGTTCACAAGGTAACCGTCCGCAGGAAGACATGTCACCTTATACAGACGCATTATTCTGACTCCGAGCTGACCAGTCTTTGCTCTTACTCCTTAATGCTGCATGCTTAGCGGAGAAGCAGCAAATACCAATTTTAAAGTCTTTGGTTTGGGATTCGAACCCATGACCTCCTGCACTCGAGGCGAACATGCTACCACAAGACCACCGAGGTGGTATATAACACTACTTTGATATTGCAGTAAAAAATGCTTATTTCAGTGTTACCGAAATAGATTATAAAAAGATAGTTCAATTTATATTCCATGGAGGTTGACTGCTGTCAGATGCCAAGTGATGACAAAGCCTGAGGTCACCATATTGGCATAACTAAAGTCAGAAGCAATTACAAATGGTTACATTATCCAACAACTGCAATTCTACTTATTTCAGGTCATCAAGATGTATTGACTTTTTTCAGTATATAAAATTTGTATCTTATTAAATCTATAGCAATAATAAATCAATTGTTTATAATAAGAAAAAAATAACCTACAATAACTAAAAGACCTGTACAATGGTAAAATGAAGGGCATCTCAATTAGTGGCTTTACAAATCATCATTAAGTGCAATATCTTCAATATTGAGTTGTCCAACATATTTGGTTGAAATAGACAGTATAGAGATCTTGACATTTTGAACTTTTTTGCTGTTGTCGGATTTTCTCTTATCTATAATGGTCTTCATGCAATAGACAATACCCCCCTATATTCTATTTTAACCTTGGTAACTATGTAAGTTGGACAGTGGGATCAACTGTATATATTTTTAAATGTAAATACCCCAGGAAAAAGTGGGCCTAAGTTTGGTTTAATTTGGCTTGTAGTTTCAGAGGAGAAATGTTTTGGTAAAAGATAATGGTAGATGACGAAAATTGGCTGATGCCAAATGATTGCAAAGGCTCACACTATCCCTTTAAGATTAGGTGAGCTAAAAACAAGTATAGACGAACAACAGTCCATATAAAGTTACATAGTAAACTAAAGAATGAGCATTCCAAACCCCAACAAAAAACCAGGGGTGATCTATGGTTCTCCAGAAAGGTAAGCAAATCCTGCTCCATGAGGTGGATATAAATTGCATTCATAACTTAATCTCATATGAAACTTGTTCATGAAGATGATTACATACATGCATCAAAGTAGAGCTGAATCTAAAACAAAAAGTTAAATACTTTCATTTTATCCCATGATTTCAATCAAAATAGTTCATTCTGTATTTCTATATAAATAGCAAGAGCAGCCATCCTACATATCCAAGTGCCAGTGTTATACTGATAGTATCAATTTAAAACAACATGCCTTCAGGGGACATAGAAAATTTCCAACATTATCTGCTTAATTCTTATACATAATTTAAGCTATGATTCAAATATTGCTATTACACCAAACACTTTTCAGCATTAAATTAGTTACTGGAAAACCTGAAAGTCATTTTTGCCCATGATTCTGGTCTCACTTCTAATGTAAAAATTCCATATCATACAACACAGACAATACTTATCCTGTTAATTACATACCAATTTTCATGATCCTATCTTATATGGTGTGAGAAGAGTTCAAAGACATGTCAAGTTTTAACTTCCCTTGCTTAGTAATTATTTATTTTTATAAATTACTAAGCATACTAATAATCTAGCAGATGATGAAAGGATGATGATTAAAGAAGGAAATATGAGTTATAAAAAGGAGGATAACTTAATAAAAAAAATTATAAAGCACATAAAGGTTGCTGTAAGAGTTTCAGAACTAATGGTATAGGCAATCTTTTCCCAAAAATTAAGAAAAGAAAATATGATCAGAATGTACAGTAAAATTTTGTAAAATAAAGTCTGTGAGCTTTCAAAATCTGTGCACTGTATTCATACAATTACAGTTGCAGTATTGCAGTGTTTATACTAATAAATATTTCATATATGATTCATTTAAAAAATGAGATGTAGATGAAAACAATAGTCTGATGTGTTTCACCATGGTATCATGATATTTTTGAGATTTGTTCAATTACAATAACTTATCAATTATATACTTTTATCATGGAAGGTCTGCTATCATATAAACCTGACAACAAATTACTGGAAGTATTTTACGTTTACTGCACAATCTTGTTTCAATAAGTACAAAGTATTCTATTTCAAATATTGCATTTGTTAATGTTTAAGGTTTCTATGTAGCACTCAGATAACATTTCCATCAGCTATTCTTTATATTAAACAGACAATAAACTGTATATATATATACAAAACCAAACAAATCATCAAAATTATAATATTACTAATGTCAAATGAAATATCAATAAATAACAAACAACCAGCTTGTTCCCAAAACAATAATATCAATAGCTTTTGTTAAAGATTAGAAAAAGAACACATTCACAATAACATGAATGAATAAATATATAAATAAGCACTAATTCTATATAATAATCATTTATAAATTTGAATGAAAGACTAACATCAAAGTCCAGAAAGACTGATTTTTTTTTCAAGTTGATCACTTTTAGGGTCCCATGTAAATAAATGTCTGCTTTTCATAAGTTATCTTCAAAAATCATATCTATCCATTACAAGACATGATTGGCAACATATGTAGCTTGTTTATATCAACATGTGTGAAAACAATGTTTGCTGTGAATTGCATGATATTCTGCACAATAAAATTTCAAATGAAAAACACTATCTTTGTCAGATTGTCTGATGGTAAGAATATTCTAACCTTGATCACATTTCATACTTACAAACTCTAAAGAATTTATTAAAACACTTATTTAAGCATGTTTATTACATCTCACTGTATTCACCTCTAAATAATTAACTTGTGTGTTCAATGAAGCATCTACACAATAAGATCTTAGCTTTAAATCCATCAGTTCTTGACTATACAAACAGTTACAAATCTAATTTGATGTAACCTTGTAATCCTACCTGCCAATATCTATTTGAATTATTGACATTTCTTAAAAATTTCCTTAAATTTCCTTCATCTGCTGTACTTGGAAAAACCCTTATGTTAACTCCTTTCTCTAAAATGTAATATATTACTTCAGTTAATATTTATTTACATGATTTTATCATTCAACCAACTTCTTAGTTCTACCATGATTATGCATCCTGATTTATATTTTTATACAGCATATTTATTTGACAGTGTACAAGGAACAATTGATTTCTTTTTGTTTGTTTGCTAGGTGACAGTGAATCAACATTACCAGTACTTTTATTAACTACCTATTGATATAGCACAAATGTTCTAGTTACTCTATAAAATCATTAAAAAGATAACAAAAGGATGACTGAAAAATCTTTTTGACCAATTTGTTTCTTTGTCTACCAATGCATCTCAACATAATTTCATTTTAATTTTTCAATTAATAATTTTAACACCTGATGAGAAAGCATTTTCTCAGTGTTTTCAACACATCTATAAATAATATTAAGTTACTTTTTTGTCTTTTAAAGCATCAAACCACATTTAACGACCATCAGATATAGCACCATTAATATACAAATGCTACAGTTGAACAAAGATCATTCAAAAACCCTGAGTATAAAAAAACACAGTTGTTCCTTTAACTTTGTTTTGGTTTGGATAAGTCAAACCCTAACCTATCAATCAAAGCTTTAAGTATATTCCCTGGGACTCTCTGATGAGTATTTATCAGCTTCTGGACAGACTCCTTAACCTGAAATGCAAGATGTCAATGTAAGTGACCAGAAAATAGCAAGTAGAACTTTATTAGGTGGAATAAAAATGGACAGTGAATATTGTTGACTAAACAGGAAGGTACATTTACTGAATCTGTGTATATCCAGAAACTATTGAAGAGACTTAATATTGTTTTGCACACAGAAATTGGTATAAAACATTTATATTAGAACCACTAAGCTAGTATCAGTGGAAAGTAAGACTTAAATGTATTAGTAAACCTATAGCATGTTGTTAAGTGCTGTCATCATATGAATAATGCAATTTGACTTCAAATTTTCTATTTATCAAATTAAAAAACTGGACTTTTAACTAAGATCATACTTATAAGATCAAAGTTGATAGGATAAATTACTCTTGTTGAGGGTTTTTGGAGTTTGATACTCTCAAATGTTTTACATATTTGCCTTTCCAGTGTACTTGAATATAATTAGTTCAGAATCATGCATAGTTGAAAATGTTTTACTGAAATATTGAGTAAAAAGAGAATATTGGCATGAAACACAATACTTTAAAATACATGAAGATTGTAAACTATAACAAGAGTGTGCACATTGAAATTTCTAGCTTGCTTTACCGAGCATGACTGAATTCTAATGTTTTTAAGATCAAGGTGGAGTGGGAAGGAAAACCTTACAATCATTCTGTTTGCCCATTTTAGTTGACCTATTCTTTATAGCATCTGAGAAACAGAGTTCATTACAAAAATTTAATAATGATCACTAAAACTGAACTTTCACTAAATGAAGCTTGAAAAATGTGGTCAAGGTCAGATGAACACTGCCAGACAGACACTTACACCTTATAATTATTCCATTAACTAATCAAGTTAATCTATTGATTATAGTATCTGAGAAATGGACCAAATCATGAAACCTTAATAAGTTAATGTTAACCAATGAACCAAAAATGAGGTCACGGTAAGATGAATCATGCCAGACAAATATGTATACCTATCAAAGGCGGATCCAGGATTTTGGAAAGGGGGGGGCGAAGTATGTAAATATCGCCGAGCGGACCTTTTTTTGGCTAAAAAACATAAAATAAGTGTAAAATGCACTTTTTTAACGGTTCCTGACGTAAGGCATGTATATTTTATAGTTAAAGTGTAAGGGTTGGACATTTTTTTATGCCGTATTCTCCCCATTAATTGTCTATTATAAAATGATTGGATGGATCCAAAGCTATGTACTAATATATTTGATGTGGGACTTGTCAGTAAAAAATTGACATGGAAAATTCTCGTTTGTTGTATGTTTAGTTAGCATAACATCATGGATTTCTTGTTGTAAAAAAGATATACGCCGGGCTATTCAATGAAATTTACAATACGACCGACACGAGTTAAGAAAGACAAACAAGCAATTTTTATCCAAATGTTTGGTTGAAATGTTTCACCCAACAAGGGAAGTGAGGGGTTCCAAATCAACCAAAGGCTACGAATGAGTCTGAAATGACAACGAATATATGAATGACGGTCGACAAATGGAGACATAAAGGCCACACCCAGCAGGCAGGTTGCAGTCGGGCCTTGAAAAAGTATTCATTTTATCAGTTGAATGTTCGAAGAAAGAGACATTCCGGTCAGATATTGGATTTACATGCAAACCCCCGGCCCCAAAAAAATTACGCCCGTTTTTTTGTTCATCATGTTCATTTAATGCTAAATAATTCTGTTGGAAACTTTTGTTTCTAATAGCAAAAAAAGTGGACAAGATTATTGTTTTCAATCCAAATACGGCCAGAATTTTTGTTTAAGGCAAAAATCAGGGTCAGAATTTTTTCTCTCAAACATCTCAGACTGCCCCCTCAAATCAAATGGTCCGTACCTTAGAATTTAAATCTATCTAGAGCTTATTGACTGGGGATCATTATTCAGCTATGTTATTAATAGGCTGGGGCGTTTTGGGTTAAACATGTTTTCGTAGGTAAATAATATTGCTGTGGAACTTTTTTCATGAAAGTGTAATAGAGTATTACTTTCTGTTCGGTGGAATTGTGAAATAGAAGTCAATAAATACGTTCTTGCTCAATCCTTTGTTGCTTTGAAGGTGTCATGCTTGTCATCCTCAGCCTAAGCAATGTGTTACTGTAATTTGAATTTCAAAATGACTGACGTTTTTTCGACGCACTGGTCAACTCCACCGTAGCGAATCGCATGATTTTGACATATCAATAATATATTACAGTAAATACGAGCGAAACATATCTTTATAAGTAAAGAATTGTCGCATAAAAATTAAATACGCGGAAAATGGCAAAGTTCACGAAGACTAGTCTGATTTATCATTTTACAAAAAAAAAAAAAAAAAAAAAGTGCAAGCAAAGGAGGGGCGTACGCCCTCTACGCCCCCCTCTGGATCCGCCACTGCCTATCAATCATTCAATTGCCCAAAATATATAGTTGACTAATAGTATCATATGAAAAAACCTAATCAGGAAAACTAAATGTTCACCAATGAAGCATGAAAAATTAGGTCTCAGTCAGATGGAAGCTGCCAGATGTACATCTACACTTTACAATCATTACATGCACCAAATATTGTTAACCTATTACCACTACCACTCAAACTTTGCTCACTGATCCATTTGAATGAGGTCAGGATCAGATTAACATTGACAGACATATTGGCCTTTCAATTTCCTATACAGTACCAAATAAAGTAGTCCTATTACTCTCAACAACTGAAATCACAATGCTTATAACCACTGAAGGGTAAATATTGCATTCATTTACCATTGGGAAGTCAAAACTAAATATTCCATTGATTTATGCATTGGAAGACAGTATTTAGAATTGGTGGATATATCAACATTTGTCAATATAAATTGTAGTTGGTTCAGCAACAGATATGGACAAGGGAAGATAACTCTAATTTTAATTATCATAATGACATCCTTGATATGTTTCTAGTAAAGAACATAAAATTCATCCACAACTTACGCAATTTTCTTGAAAAGTGTGTTATACAAGTACACATTATTTCTTTACATTTTAGTGATAAATTGCTTGTTATGTACATAGATATGATGAAAAGAATGTTCACCGCAATGCACTATATCTTTGTACTCTCTATAGTATCAATAAGGCCTAGGAAATATAATTATCAAGCCAGTCAAATTAGCAATCTTTACCATAAAAAATCATGTGATTAAAAAAACCTTTCACATTTTTCATCAATTGCTGTACAATAAAAATGAGGTGAAGCAAAACAGATGTATGCCAGATAAAAACGTAAGAATATAAGGCATCTGTACACAAGATATGAAGTATCTTCTGAAATATAAAGCTTTATACAAATAGTTTACTATAACAGCCGTATGTCTTATATTGTGAGACAAATGTTCAAGACTAGACATATATCATACTATTGAGATATTCTATCTTCAAACAGATAATTTTGCTTTCAATGGAGATTCTTTCGAATAAATTTTGTGAACTGACTATTTTAGTTTATGAACATGATGAATGATGTGTTTAATGGTATACAATGTACCAATATTTCCAACAAGTTTTTATTTTGTTTACTATTTGTGTAAAACAATGCAAGGAAAGAAATCTTCAATATACTGGGATATCTACTTTACTGGCCAGAACAGGAACCTATGGGAGACAGGGCTTATTTAGACCAGCACTAGAGAATAAATAATTTTAATGTAAAATAAATAAAAGAACAGAGTTCCAATGTCCCCCGTGTTGCACATATTTTATTTATCCAAGGTACAAGGGCAATAACTAAATAAAACACTTTTTTTTTGTAGCGCTAACAAGGCCATTTGCCATAAATTTAATATTCCAAGGGCATAACTATTTTTAAAAAAGTCGATAAAATTGAGAATGGAAATGGGGAATGTGTCAAAGAGACAACAACCCGACCATAGAGCAGACAACAGCCGAAGGCCACCAATGGGTCTTCAAAGGATAAGCCTCCTTTATATAACTTGTCTGATATATTGCTGATATTAACCTATCACATAAATTTTTTTAAAATCTGGCAAGAACTGTACCCATGAGAGTGCTAACGAGGCCATTTACCATAAATTTAATATTTCGAAGGTACATAACTCTTTTTAAAAAAGTCGATCGGCCACCATTATAAAATTTGTCCAAGATATTGCTGATATTAACCTAAAGTATAAGTTTTATAAAAATCTGGAAAGAATTGTACCCATGAGAGCGCTAATGAGGCCATTTTCCATAAATTGAATATTTCAAAGGGACATAACTCTTTTAAAAAATAGCAATACTTTAACATGTAAGTTACGCAAATATTCAAAGTCAATGAACCATGACTTAAGGTACAGGGCTAAACAATCTCCATGGAAATGAGATGTGCCAATGCTAATACAACTGCAAACCAAATACCATTGACTTTTCATAAGTTGTTCCCTTTAAACAAACCTAAACACAAACATTAACTTGTAAACTATGTAAAAGTTTCAAAGTCAATGAACCATAATTAAGGGGTGGGGTTATATAATCTCCATGGAAATGAAACTTGCAAATGCCAATACATTTGCATACCGAATATCATTGACTTAACATTAGTGGTTCATCTTAAACTGACCTAATCACAAACTAATACATGTAAACTAAGCAAAAATTTCAAAGTCAATAGACCATGAATGAGGGGTTAGAACCAAATATTCTCCATGGAAATGAGATATGCCAATGCTTATACAACTGCATATCAAATATCATTGACCTACCACTAGTGGTTCCCCATAAACTGACCTAATCACAAACTAATACATGTAAACTAAGCAAAGTTTCAAAGTCAATAGACCTTGACTTAGGGGGCGGGGCCAAATTATCCCCATTGTAATGAGATGTGCCAATGCTAATACAACTGCATACCAAATATCATTGACCTACCACTAGTGGTTCCCCATAAACTGACTTAATCACAAACTAATACATGTAAACTAAGCAAAGTTTCAAAGTCAATAGACCTTGACTGAGGGGGTAGGGCCAAATAATCTCCATGGTAATGAGATGTGCCAATGCTAATACAACTGCATACCAAATATCATTGATTTGGTTCACCATGAACTAGACCTAATCACAAACTAAAACATTGTTGACGCCACGGCTATCGCCGCTGACGCTGGAAACAGCATACCTATGTCTCGCTTTTTGACTCCGTCAAGGCGAGACAAAAATTGTCAGGATAAAATGAATATAGAGTGAGCTTTGTTTAGTTCATACCTGTTCTGCCAACTCATCAGGAGTCATGTTTTCTTTTGGATATATAGGATCTCCAATAAATGTTCTACAATAACAAACATAAAATTAACAAAATTCTGAACATAATTTATCATAAGGAAGGAATATTATCAATATGTCATAATAACAATATTTTTATAACTTTTGATCCATTAACATTCTAACTTAAATAAACAAGAGTGCACATGCTGAAATGTCTCACCTACTATACTGACCATTGATTTTATGTCGATAGTCATAAAGTTTTACTACAAGTATCACATTAACATTTATGATCCAAGAAAATGAGGTCAAGGTCAGATAAACCAAGCCGGAAATACATGTACACCTTTAATACAATCATTCCATACACAGAATATAGATGACCTATTGCTTATAGTATAAAAGAAACAGACCAAACCATGGAAATTCTATACTGACCAATGAACCATAAAAATGAAGTCAAGGTCAGATGAACCCTACCAGATAGACATGTACATCTTAAAATCATTCCATGCATCAAATATAGTTGACCTATTGCTTAAAGTATCTAAGAAACAAAGTAAACCAGTAAACTGAACATTGACCAATGAACCATGAAAATGAGGTGAAGGTTAGATGATAAAATTGAGAATGGAAATGGGGAATGTGTCAAAGAGACAACAACCCGACCATAGAGCAGACAACAGCCGAAGGCCACCAATGGGTCTACCAGACAGACATATACACCTTACAATCATTCCATACACCAAAAATAGTTGACCTATTGGTTAAAGTTTAAGAAAAACAGACCAAAGCACAAAAACTTAACACAAGCAATGAACCATGAAAATGAGGTCAAGGTCAAATAAAACCTGCCAGACTGACATGTACATTGTAAAATATTTCCCTACACCAAATATATAGTTGACCTTTTGCATACATTATTAGAAAAACAGACCAAAACACAAAAACTTAACATTGAGCAATGAACTGTGAAAATGAGGTCAAGGTCAAATAAAACCTGCCAGATAGACATGTACATTGTAAAATATTTCCATACACCAAATAAAGTTGACCTACTGCATACAGTATTAGAAAAACAGATCAAAACACAATAAACTGCTTCGCTGAGTGCAGCTGGATATGCCCACAGAGGTCAAACCCTGAACAGTTGGGGCAAAAATGGACACAATATTCAAGCTTGATACAGGTCTGAATTTGGATTGTAATTAAATATTTGACATATTATAGGTTTCTGAATAATGTAGTCAAAGAACTTGAAATTGGTTATATGAATTGAATTTATATTCAATTAAAGATTCCTTGCTGTTGTGCAATACACTGTGCTGTTGCGCAATACTTAGTATTCTGTTGTCAGACTATAAACAAATAAAGTTCAATTTTGTTCTCAATGTCATATTTGAAATTTATGAAAATCAATAGGGAGATTACATCAATAGCTATAAATATTTCACCAAAGTTTCATGAGAACTGCTGAAAGCATTTTTGAGTTATTGTCCAAAAGCTGGAAAATCACCCCTTTTTTAATGAATAAAACCCCAAAACTCAGAAATGTAAAATCTAAAATTTATAAAATTCTAAAGGGAGCTTACATCAACAGATATAAACAATTCACCAAAGTTTCATGAGAACTGCTGAAAGCATTTTTTAGTTATTGTCCGAAAACTGGAAAATCATCCTTTTTTTATGAATAAAACCCTGTAACTAGGAAACGTAAAATCTAAAATTTATAAAAATCGAAAGGGAGCTCTGCTCATGTCAATAGATATAAACAATTCATCAAAATTTCTTGCAAGTTGGTGAAAGCATTCTTGAGTTATTGTCGGAAAACTGGAAAATCCCCCCTTTTTTAATGAATAAAACCCCAAAACTCAGAAACGGTAAATCTGAAATTTATAAAAAACGAAAGGGAGCTCATGTCAATAGATAAAAACAATTCACCAAAGTTTCATGCATATTGGTTAAAGTTTTTTTCAGTTAATGTTCGACATGTTGACGACGGACGGACGGACAGACGGACGAACAAACGGTCAACAGTATACCATAATACGTCCCGTAAACGGGCGTATAAAAACTTAACATTAAGCAATGAACCATGAAAATGAGGTCAAGGTCAAATAAAACCTGCCAGACTAACATGTACATCGTAAAATATTTCCATACACCAAATATAGTTGACCTATTGCATACAGTATTAAATAAACAGACCAAAACACAAAACCTATGACCACTGAACCATGAAAATGAGGTCAAGGTCAGATAACACCTGCTAGTTGGACATGTACACCTTACAATCATTACATACACCAAATATAGTAGACCTATTGCTTATAGTATCTGAGAAATGGACTTGACCACGAAAATTTAACCTTGTCCACTGATCCATGAAATGAGGTTGAGGTCAAGTGAAAACTGTTTGACAGGCATGAGGACCTTGCACTTACCAAAAATAGTTATCCTATTACTCATAATAAGAGAGAAATTAACATTACAAAAAATCTTAACTTTTTTTCCCAAGTAGTCACTGAACCATGAAAATGAGGTCAAGGACAATGGGCATAAGACAGACGGAAACTTCATAACATAAGGCATCTATATACAAAGTATGAAGCATCCAGGTCTTCTTCCTTCTGAAATATTAAGCTTTTAAGAAGTTAGTTAACGCTGCCGGATCACTATCCTTAAGTCGAGCTTTCTGTAACAAAAGTTGCAGGCTCGACAAAAACCTTCATTCAAATAACTCATTGCTTGATATAAAAATCTAATGACAAAATAGTGTGAAAGCTGTAAAATTTAATGAATTGGAAGGTTAAAAGTATACAATTTTTAGTAGCATTTTTAATTTTGATAAAAATATGTTGATCAATAAAATAAACTGTTGACACGGAGATTTGTCTCTCCTTTTTGTAATTTTGATAGTATAATGCAAATATTGAATCCAAATGTCAATATTTAATCCTGTAAACGATGTAAAACATTCAAAGTCAATGAACCATGACTTAATGTGCAGGACTAAATAACCTCCATGGAAATTAGAAATGCCAATGCTTATAAAACTGCATACCAAATACCAATGACTTACCATAAGTGTTAACCTTAGCAATAACCTAAACACAAACTTTAACTTGTACACAATGTTAAAATTTCAAAGTCGATTAACCCTGATAGGGGTGGGGCCAAATAATCTCCATGGAAAAGAAGACTTGTAAATGCTAATTATATCATTGACTTAACATTAGTGTTCCTGTAAAACTAATCTAATCACATGAAAATTATGCAAAACATTCAAGTCAATAGACCATGACTGAGGGGGCGAAGCCATAAAATCTCCATGGAAATGAGATGCGCCAATGCTTATGCATCTGCATACCAAATATCATTGACGTAGCGCAAGTGGTTCCCCTTAAACTGACCTAATCACAAACTAATACATGTTAAGTAAGCAAAAGTTTCAAAGTCAATAGACTGAGGGGGCAGGGCAAAATTATCTCCATGTAAATGAGATGTGCCAATGCTTATACAACTGCATACCAAATATCATTGACTATTAGTGGTTCCCCATTAACTGACCTAATCACAAACTAATACATTGTTGTTGACACCAACACTGTCTGAAACAGCATACTCAAGTCTCGATTTTTGACTTTGTCAAGGCAAGACAATGATAACTGACTTGTTATCAGTAATACGTAAAGCAAGCTATTCACTTCGTCATCCTGAGTTTTAAAAAAGCCTGAGAATAAATAAAACATTTAATATTACACATCTGCAAATCTGCAATCAACACTAAATTCTGTAAATAACAATAACCATTTATATGACACAAGACAACCACTGACAGGGTTCCTAACATGGGAATATGCGACAGAGATAGATTTAGTTCTTTTTAGATCTCAAACCTCCTCTGTTTTAATCTTGAATGCATATCCCCTTTTACATCTCATTCCATGTTTGTAAAAAGAAATTTTCAATAAGTTAAAGACGTCCTTACTTCATTTTTACAGGAAAAAATCCATAAATTGGGACTATTGGTAATCTAGTTTTCTCATATAATCTTCTTAACCAACCTGGAAGAAAACAATACAATTCAATACAAAAATGTTATATTGTTATCATGATTCTGACTAAATTGAATTTTTTTTATCAAAACCATGTGAGTTTTGACTTTGCATTGATTGATTGATGGATGTTTAACATCCAGCAAAAAATAGTACATGCATAACCAGTACAATAATGAGATATGATCATTTACCCTGCATTGTTACTTTGTACCAAATTAACTTTAATGGTTACATGTATATGTGTGCTCATAAATACTTAGTGAATATGGTCTTTAGTTTAAAGAACAGAGTTAACACTTTTATGTTCAACAACTACCTTGATGGTCTCATTGTAGTGATAACACGAGTGGCCAAGGTCATGGTGTTCCATCTATGGTAAGGTAAAACTAAAGATTTCAAAATTGGTATTTTATACTACTCAACAAAAAACATCTCACTGTTAAGATGCTGACCAAATATTAAGTCCTTCTGCTCAGTGGTTCCTAAAGAAAGTGTGACAGAAAATATGTGTTGGACAAAGAGAGATGGACAACAAGGTGATTGGTATAATGCACCCACTTCTACAATGGGAGTATAATAGCTCAATATTGGTTAACTTATTCAGTATTTTACAAAGCCTATTTTTATAAATAGGAATCAATAAACCCTGATAAGTATTATCTTAATATAGCATGTTTAGTGTCCAAATTTGTTTCTGTTACTTTAATCTACTTAAATAAGAAAGTACTAAAAAAAAACTGAGAATTTTATTATTTCACTTATTAGATAGAATGTCAGACCACAGTTCTGACTACTGACTAAAATATGATGTATGTCTTGAAAAGAAATACTTACTTCTTCCAATTCTTGGTGTTCTGAAAGACTCACGTAGATTCTGAGTAAATACTGGATATATTGGCTGAAAATATTACATCACTTTATTAACAACTAAATCAGATTGCAATTATCCATATGATTAGAATTTTTTTTACAATAATGTTTTTGGGTGATTATCTTTACATTTAACAACCACTATATTATTCAATTTTAAATAAGATACATAACCTGACTTATTCTTGATGACATGTGTGAATCAGAGAAATTATGTACATCTAAGGTATTTCACACTATAAATTTAGATGTAGAACTAGATTTCAATTATATTATGGAATGTAGTTGCAAGAATGGCTTTTTCATTAGATTTTCTGTGAGAAAAAACTTCTTCTAAATCACACGTACTGAAATTTTTCATATTATTATGAAATTCACATATGACGTCATTCACAATGTAAAAAATTTTTTTTTAAAATACTTATTTATGCTGTAGTGAAAACGTGTTATCACAAACATTAATGTAAAGATTTGAGGTGAAGATAAGGCTCTTTTTTGTCTTAAATCCTTACAGGCTTAAAATTACAACTGGTTGTCTAATTAAAAGCTGTTTTATTTGGAATCCAGGGCTCATGCTAGCAGGCAACTGGGGCGAATAAGTCGCTTTTCCATCTGGCACTTCGCTTTGCCCAACCATCAAAAGCGATATTTAGTCGCATGTAGTCGCTTTCGCCATCAGCAATTTTCCATTTTTACCAAGTCGATGAAACAGCAATTTTTCATGTATAAGTTCAAAAACATAAACGATTTATTTATTTAGAAAAGATGTAAAAGTATTGACTTGAGAGATTGGTCGTATGTTATTCCAAAGAAACAACTTTTCCAAAGTATTGTGTTTCACTTCCTGTAATCATTACTCGCAAGCGTATATCAAAACATTCTGATTCTTGGCAAAATAAGTTTATCACTTCATTAGAACGTGATAAAAATTGCCTTTAGTTAATGTTTCTTCCATTCATTGCATTGAAAGCATCATATTCTTTTCCAAATCACTTGTCAAACATTGTTTATTTTCGTAAATTTTTCTTTTCAGCCACTGAAAAATTAGTAGGAACCATGGATCAGAGGTGGTACTCATCAGAAGGGAAACAGTGCAAAATTGTGCAACTAGGAATGATTATTTAAGACATCAACTGAAACAACTGTTACTTTAATTGTATTCTCAGGTATGAATTTAATAATATAAAAATAATTAAATGAATAGGATACATATGGCTCTTTATATTATGGTAAAAACCAAACATTGCAGCACCGCAGGTGAACAAGCGCTTCTCTTTTAAGTCTCACAATTTCTTCACACCAGTTTCAAAAAGAAAAGTCACTTCTCCCTATGATTCTAAAGTAGTGTGAGCCCTGTAATTATGACATTATTGTGGCCAGTTTTTATTGGTGGAGAATCAAGAGTGCCCAGAGAGAACCACCGACCTTGAGCAGGAAAACAGGCAATCCTAGTCAATTAACATTGGAATCAAACACACCTGCCACGTGCTGGATTCAAACTCACAACCTCTGTGTTGACAGGGTAGTGATCACTGTAGATGTACTACTTAGACTAATCTGCCACCAAGGCTACTACACAACCTCTGTATTGACTGGGTAGTGATCACTGTAGATGTACTACTTAAGACTACTCTGCCACCAAGGCTCCTACACAACCTCTGTGTTGACAGGGTAGTGATCACTGTAGATATACTACTTAGACTACTCTGCCACCAAGGCTCCTACACATCTTCTGTGTTGACAGGGTAGTGATCACTGTAGATATAATACTTAGACTACTCTGCCACCAAGGCTACTACACAACCTCTGTGTTGACAGGCTAGTGATCACTGTAGATATACTACTTAAGACTACTCTGCCACCAAGGCTACTACACAACCTCTGTATTGACAGGGTAGTGATCACTGTAGATATACTACTTAAGACTACTCTGCCACCAAGGTTACTACACAACCTCTGTGTTGACAGGGTAGTGATCACTGTAGATATACTACTTTAGACTACTCTGCCACCAAGGCTACTACACAACCTCTGTGTTGACAGGCTAGTGATCACTGTAGATGTACTTCTTCAACTACTCTGCCACCAAGGCTCCTACACAACTTCTGTGTTGACAAGGTAGTGATCACTGTAGATATACTACTTAGACTACTCTGCCACCAAGGCTCCTACACAACTTCTGTGTTGACAGGGTAGTGATCACTGTAGATGTACTACTTAAGACTACTCTGCCACCAAGGCTCCTACACAACTTCTGTGTTGACAGTGTAGTGATCACTGTAGATGTACTACTTAAGACTACTCCGCCACCAAGGCTCCTACACAACCTCTGTGTTGACAGGCTAGTGATCACTGTAGATGTACTACTTCGACTACTCTGCCACCAAGGCTCCTACACAACCTCTGTGTTGACAGGGAAGTGTCACTGTAGATGTACTACTTAGACTACTCTGCCACCAAGGCTCCTACACAACCTCTGTGTTGACAGGGTAGTGATCACTGTAGATGTACTACTTAGACTAATCTGCCACCAAGGCTACTACACAACCTCTGTATTGACAGAGTAGTGATCACTGTAGATGTACTACTTAGACTACTCTGCCACCAAGGCTCCTACACAACCTCTGTGTTGACAGGCTAGTGATCACTGTAGATGTACAACTTAAGACTAATCTGCCACCAAGGCTCCTACACAACCTCTAGGTTGACAGGCTAGTGATCAATGTAGATGTACTTCTTCGACTACTCTGCCACCAAGGCTCCTACCTAACTTCTGTGTTGACAGGGTAGTGATCACTGTAGATATACTACTTAGACTACTCCGCCACCAAGGCTCCTACACAACTTCTGTGTTGACAGGGTAGTGATCACTGTAGATGTACTACTTAGACTTCTCCGCCACCAAGGCTCCTACAGAACTTCTGTGTTGACAGGGTAGTGATCACTGTAGATATACTACTTAGACTACTCCGCCACCAAGGCTCCTACACAACTTCTGTGTTGACAGGGTAGTGATCGCTGTAGACATAATACTTAGACTACTCTGCCACCAAGGCTACTACACAACCTCTGTGTTGACAGGGTAGTGATCACTGTAGATGTACTACTTAGACTACTCTGCCACCAAGGCTCCTACACAACTTCTGTGTTGACAGGGTAGTGATCACTGTAGATGTACTACTTAGACTAATCTGCCACCAAGGCTACTACACAACCTCTGTATTGACAGAGTAGTGATCACTGTAGATGTACTACTTAAGACTAATCTGCCACAGAGGCTCCTACACAACCTCTGTGTTCACATAGTAGTGATCACTGTAGATGTACTACTTAGACTAATCTGCCACCAAGGCTACTACACAACCTCTGTATTGACAGGGTAGTGATCACTGTAGATGTACTACTTAAGACTAATCTGCCACAGAGGCTCCTACACAACCTCTGTGTTGACAGGGTAGTGATCACTGTAGATGCACTACTTAGACTACTCTGCCACCAAGGCTCCTACACAACCTCTGTGTTGACAGGGTAGTGATCACTGTAGATGTACTACTTAGACTAATCTGCCACCAAGGCTACTACACAACCTCTGTATTGACAGAGTAGTGATCACTGTAGATGTACTACTTAAGACTAATCTGCCACAGAGGCTCCTACACAACCTCTATGTTGACAGGTTAATGATCACTGTAGATGCACTACTTAGACTACTCTGCCACCAAGGCTCCTACACAACTTCTGTGTTGACAGGGTAGTGATCACTGTTGATGTACTACCGTATAGCGTGTTATTTTCGCGGGTGTAAAATTTTGCAATTTAGGGGCAACAAAGTATATGAAAAATTTTGGCGGTTTTTATTTTGGCGGATTCTTTAATCCCTATTAAATATTTTGGCGGACACTTAAATGGTTGCAGTTAAAAAGTTGTAGAAATTGACAAGAGATAGAGAGATAAGATAAATAATAGTTTATTTAAGTGTCACATATTGATCTATAACAAAAGTATCTATTGTTATGGTTAAATGATTGTTTTACCTGCATCACGTCTTTATATTTATTGATTATATTTTGATACAGTTAATCAATAGAATACCGGTACTTAGATATTTGCCATAGGTGTACAAACCTCTGGTAAATGTTACGGTTGATTAGTTACGAAATTGACCGGACCTTTGATGTACTAATTTGATCATAAAATTATCATGAGTGACTTGCGACTCTTATATAATTTGACACTAAATAATAAGGATAAAATACCTGACAGAGTACCTTACACTCTAATATTATTAATTATTTTATTATGTAACCAATTACCTAATTAACACCTGACAGCCTTGGAACAATGGCTTTTCGCATTTATGTTGGTTAAATTAACATAAACCATTATTGATTCGACGAACGGGAAAAATAGATAATTTATAAAACGCTTTAGGTATTAGAAAGTACTGAACGTATGCATAAATTTTCGCGGAATTTAATTTCGCGATTTCCCCTTACCCGCCAAAATAAGCGAAAATAAACACCCGGCGAAAAATAACCCGCTATACGGTACTTAGACTACTCTGCCACCAAGGCTCCCATTAAACCTCAGTGTTGATAGGGTAGTGATCACTGTAGATGTACTACTTAGACTACTCTGCCACCAAGGCTCCTACACAACCTCTGTGTTGACAGGCTAGTGATCACTGTAGATGTACTACTTAGACTTCTCCGCCACCAAGGCTCCTACACAACCTCTGTGTTGACAGGCTAGTGATCACTGTAGATGTACTACTTAGACTAATCTGCCACTGAGGCCCCACCTTTATAAAACATGTGGTTATTCTTTAATGACTATCCTTTTCTGTCATGCCACAAACTTCAGTGTAATATCTGTTAATTGTTCCCAAAGTAAAATACTATATATTCACTAAAATCTAAATATCAAAAAAGCTTGGTAGCTCCAGGGAGAAAATATAACATTGTTTCCCTTGATGTCAGTAGGTAGGTGCGGTCCAAAAAGAAGTGAACAATTGTTTCCCATTACAGAAAAGATTTCCCATAGATACTTTCAAAAGAAACTCCCAGAATTCTGTAAACAATAGCAGCTACCTTATACTAGGAAGATATTAGATAAACAATCTATTAAAAAATCTTAAAATTTATAAATATGAAACTTTTTGAAAATTTAAATGTACAATAGTAATTATTTAAATTTTCAAATTGCAATAAAAATAAGACAACTGTTAAATAAAACATCAAAATCTATTTACTTTTGTAATTTTTTTTTAGTAATTTAGCACTTGATGATAGAATGGTAATAAAAAAAAGGAATTTTGAGTTAGGAAAGATCATCATTTTCAACAATATAAAGCACAAAACAATTGCTGTGAGAGCCTAGTATAGGTAAAAAAAGATTGATAGCAACCTTCTTCAAGTCATTTTTTCTTAAAAAATCTTTGCTGTACCTGAAAATTATTATACCAATTGTCATTCAATAATATAGAGACGATTCAGATCTTACCACATTAGCTTGGATAGCTACTTTAGCAAATCCATTACGATTACCCCACATTACTGGATAATATTCATCTCCAAATAAGGCTTCTCTTACACCACCTCAAAATAGAAATGAAACAGGATTGATTATTCATTATTTGAACTCCTTTAAAGGGGTATTAGATGCAAAATTCATTTTCACCAGCTATTACAATAAATAAACTGCTCCTGCTTTCCTTTATATATAACAATCATTCACAGATATCATAAAATGTAAGTACAATGTATCGTACAACCTTCAATTCTATTTTGACATTATCTTTCTTAACAAACAACAAATTTCTGCTGTGGAAACAATCTAATAAGTGATCGACATAATCTCCAAAGAATTTGACAGAAATATTGAATGTTAGGAGAATGTTTTGGTATATAAGTCAGGAGCCTCTGGCCTTTGTTAGTCTTGTATGTTTTTTAATTTTAGTTCGTTTATATGTTTTGGAGTTTATTGTGATGTCCATTTTCACTGAACTAGTACACAATTTTATTTAGGGGCCAGCTGAGGACCACCTCCGGGTGCGGGATTTTCTCGTTGCGTTTGAAGACCCATTGGTGGCCTTCGGCTGTTGTCTGCTCTTTGGTCGGGTTGTTGTCTCTTTGACATATTCCCCATTTCCATTCTCAATTTTTTTTGTTCTGGAATCTTCTTACATCAAACATGGTCATTCAGTTTACCAGGAAAGGTCAAGTCAGAGATTGCAAGCATAATTTAGCAATTGCCTATTTCTTGTTTGGAAGAAAATAATATTACTGGTAAGAAACATTACTCCTTATTCTACAAAACTTTACCAATTAACAATTACTTTGTCAGACATAAAGGTTTTTTCATTCATTTGAAATATTTTCCAATATTTAAAATATGGTGTAGATTTTTAGTATTCCAAATTTCTAAGCTTATCAACATAAGATCAAATAAATTACAGTGTCAAGGTCATTAAATCTAAGAGGATTTACAGTTTAGTTTTACTTACCTATTATTCATGCATGTTAACTTAAGTTTAAACTGACAAAAGGTTTCAAAATAAAATACCTAAATAGAAATTTTCAATATTGTAATTATCATGCATTTCTGCTAAGTTTAGTTTTGCCTAATGGAAACAAGTAAGAAGAGTTTTAATAAGTTTACAAAGACTGATCCCAATCACATCAATTCACATTGACACAAAAAAAGTTAAAAAACTATCACATCATCATGCATGTATTACATTCCACTGCTTGGTCATACTGAATGGAGTTAAAAGAAATTGGAAACAACAATAGTGCACACGTTAAAATGTCTCACCTACTTATCTCTCAATCGATCATGATTGAATTTTACGTTGAAAGTCTTCAAGATCAAGGTTTTACTACAGATATCACATAAACTTAACATTATCAATGATCCATGAAAATGAGGTCATGGTCAGATGAACTCAGGTAGACACACATGTTCACCTTAAAATCATTCCATACACCAAAAACAGATGACCTATTGCTAATACATGTAGAATCTAAGAAACATATTTTACAATGAAACTAACATAGATCAATAGACAATGAAAATTAGGTCAAGGTCAAGTGAAACCGGCAAGATGGACATGCACACTTATCAATCTTTCCAAACACAAAATATAGTTGACCTATTGCTTACAGTATCTAAGAAATTGACCCTGAAAACTTTATTTTGACAAATGAAGTATGCAACTAAGGTCAAGGTCAGATGAACCCTCCCAAATGGACATGTGCACCTCATATTCCTGCCATACACCAAATACTGTTTACCTATCTCTTATAGTATCTAAGAAACTGACTTAAACCTTAAAAACTTAACATTGATCAATGTACCATGAATAACTTAAAAGTCAGTTCAACCCTAGACCAATACCTAAAAGATTCCCTTCTTTCAGAACATTTACAAAGGCTTGAATGGACACCCATGTTACATACCTGGAGCAATTCCTAAAAGGTGACCACCCTTCAGAACATTAACACAACTCTGTATGGTCCCTGGTGTAACTCTCATTACTTCCATCAACAGTCTCCAACCTAAAACCAAATTGTATGTATGATACAATTTTATGTCTTCCTGAAAATCTATAATACCAAATCTCTTTTTAAGGGTTAAATAATATGATAACAGGTTTCAACAAACAAAGATATACATTATGTTTCCATTACAATTTTGTGCATTTTCAACTTTATATTCAAGATATATAATATATATATGTTTGTGAACTGTAGAAGACTCAAAAGTTTGATGGGGAATTGGGGATGCTAAGAAATTATGGTTCAGCTAAGGTATGAACGTATGTGCTGCAGAATGAAAACAAGTTGACCACAGTAAAGTGTGCAATATATGAAAAAAGCCTTGGATCCTGCTCCAATCTCTGCTTGTTATACATGTATGTAAAATCATGTCATCTTGACATGTTCTCATCCTGATATGCATGTAACATTTTCCACTGGGCATTAAACACCAAACCATCAATTCATATAAGTACTTGGGCATTAAACACCAAACCATCAATTCATATAAGTACTTGGGCATTAAACACCAAACCATCAATTCATATAAGTACTTGGGCATTAAACACCAAACCATCAATTCATATAAGTACTAATGCATTTTATAATATATACATTATACAAAAACATTTGACACATACCTGGAATGTGAAATAAGAAGTTATCCCCAACAGCTCGTATATGTCTATTTTTTTCTAACATACACCTAGCTACAATGTAGTAGAAATCTATTGGTATGGTACCATGGTAATATATCAAGAGTGCTGGTCCTTCTTTTGGTATCTTTTCCAACCCTTCAATTTCATAACCTATTCAACAAAAGGTATTAAATCTAATTTTTCTACGTTTTATTCTAAGTTCTAAAGGATTTGTATTACAATTGTAAATTACAAAAAAAAAGAAACAACACTGTAACTCTACCATATTTCACGCCTGCATCATGTCGTACCTATCCTTTATCTATTGTTTGAGTGTTTGGCTTTATATTTGGTACGTTTAATCTGTAAAACCTGTCAACTCTGACTTTAAAAATTATTATATACCTATATGGAGTTATTTCCTTTCAGACCGACAGGTCATTCTTTTGAAGAAACAAGCTTGATGATACCAAGTTTCAATGAAATGTGTATCAAGGCATAAAATAATGACCTGCGTCGGGTCATTATTTTCCCTGATTAAAATGCAAACTACAGATTACTAAAAACATTTAATCTGTGTGTTGTTGCTAAATGGGTTTTATTGTAGAATTTTCTATCTATAACATTTTTAAAAACATTTAGGCAGAAATAATTCTTGCCTCCGTGTATAAGACTGAAACAAATACCCTTTACTCTATTAAATGACAAAATATTCTTATTTTCTACAGGGGAACAGCCATGTTCTTTAAAAGGGGGGGGGGCTATAATAAATCATACTGATTCTGAATTTTTGAAGAAAAAAATGTATTGCCAGACAAAAGAGAGAAAACAATTATTCTGAAAAGTTCGTTAAAAATTGTTGAAAAAATTATCTGCTTTTCTGACAGTGATAAAAATGTCATGAAACAAGAGAAAAACACAGCACCCTTTATATGATAAATTACTTACAAAGTGACTTGTATTTTTCGTACATCTTAACAAAACAGTTGCTTCTTGCTTCATGCAATTACTGTACCATTTATATTGTAACTGGACAGTGATTTCTAATGTTTATACATGTATCTAGATTAATTAGTGAGTTTTATTTCACATTAAAAATGAGCTGTGGGGAGTTGTTATACCTATACGCTTAAGAAAAGAATATCCCACTTCAATGTGATTGGTAAAATAGGATACAATTCCTGTAAATCTTTGCAGAAAATGATATTTTTTTATGGTATTTAAGTCAGATAATGCATACCCTCGGCGTGTTATACGACAAGAAACACCTTAAAATATGCATTATCTATAACAAGTTCCTGTTTCAGTCAGTAATTTTTTATACATAATCTCACGAAGACTGACCAATTCATTTGACCCCATTAAGGGACAGTGTGCTTACTAGAATATCTGACTCAAACTAATACTATTCCTCTATATTATCAAAGTAAATAAGTGTACCAGATCTGATGAAAACCTTGAAAATACAAATCAATCCATTTTTTCTCCTTTCCTTGAATTGCCTTTTGATCTTGAAAATTATATTAGCACTGGGAGTCTTTCTCCATATTATTAGGTGTACCAATTATGAATGGTGACTGAACAAGCCAAAATATAGTCTACATATATTCCATTGACAAATGGCTGTAACTCTCCCACATACCGACATGCTTTGATAACCTTCAGTATATTATAAATAGAACTACAATCCCTTTCCATAGTACAAATATCAATGAAAAAAAAAAATATGTATAAAAGCATATCAAATTATACATTCATACATGTATATGACACAATATATAAGATTTCATTATAATAAATAAAATAATGATAAAAATAATGACATGAAAAATCAAATTTAATGATTTTAAAATAACAAAATAACTTGGATATTTTTTATGACTGATTTATAATCATATAAAACAGTCTGATTGTTTGTGTCTTTAGGCATGGCTAAATAATAGGAAAATAGAACTTCTTATATCTGTAGTGACAAATATTGAAATGAATTTTACGGATAAGATATCAAAATAAAAAATATCAAAATTTTATTTAAGGCATCTTGTCCCAGGTTAGAGTTGTCTTTTTGACATTGTTCCTACATCTTTTTTATTAATATTGTATCTATATTGTTTCATAGATCAAAACCTATTTGTTCAGTGTATGTTTACGTTTGTTTTTTTTTTTGCCTTTTTGATCGAGTTAAGCCATTTCAATTGATATTTTATAGTGTGCCTTTTTATGTTGAAATGTTACACTACTGTTTCAGGTTAGGGTGAAGGTTGGTGCCTGTTAAAACGTTTAAAACTGCTGCATTTGTAAGCACCTGTCCTAAGTCAGGAGCCTGTTGTTCAGTGGTTGTCGTTTGTTGGTGTGGTTCATAAGTGTTTATCGTTTCTCATTTTTTATATAGATTAGACCGTTGGTTTTCCTGTTTGAATTGTTTTACACTAGTTATTTTGGGGCCCTTTATCGCTTGCTGTTCGGTGTGATCCAAGGCTCCATGTTGAAGGCCCTACTTGGACCTATAATTTTTTACTTTTTATACATTGTGACTTGGATAGAGAGTTGTCTCATTGGCACTCATACCACATCTTCTTATTTATATATACAATATACATACCATGCCAAATTCTTGCCTGACCATCCCAAAAGGCTGAAACTGTCTTTCTTGCTCCATCCCAAAAGTCTTGGCTGTAAGCTTCCCGCAGGCGATGTCGATAGTTATGGACATGTAGAAACAAAGCCATTCCATAGAAAAACAATAGAATAATTAATGGTAACAGGAAAGATATGACGATTGGGTACAGTACCCATAATACCCATTTCCAGTAATGAATGTCAAGGTTGTCAATAGATTCCCAGACATATGTTAGATATGGTATTGTTCCATTCAACATTGTGTGGCCAACTGTACACCAAGAGAGATAACCAGTCCTCCTTCATTAGGGTATTACAGGTACCTTAAAAAAGAAAAAAAAAATGTCAACAATCCTTCAAAACCAGTTTTTTTCTCTTTTGAACCGTTTCAAATCTTAACATCCAGGGGCTATTAAAGCTTGCTATATGGAATAGGTTTCATTCATTGTTCAAGTCTGTATGGTGTAAAGTTGTTGGTTAATAGTTGCTTCATTGGAATTGGCAAACTCCTAATAGCATAACATTTACGAGAATACAATATTATTATACCTACATGAATTAATTGATCAAATTCTGTTACCAATTCAATTTAAAATTATGTGTGCCTGAAAATTTTAAATAAAATTGAACAATTATACATGACATTTTTTTCTTGACCAAATTGATGGAAACAGTTTTAATTAGATATATTTGCAGAATATCTTTCTTTTTTTTCTAAACAAACATCTTTGTGGAAATCTTCATACATTTTGAAGATGATCTAACATGTTCAAGGTTTTGATGAGTGGAAACCTAAATTCAAAATATAAGAGAGAGGCAAAAGATACCAAGGCAAAAAAAGAAAAGAACCACAAGACATACAACAGTAAACAAAACACTACATATAAAACTAAAGACTCTGCAACTAAAATCCCACCAAAAACGAAAACTCCCATTATAATACCATTCTGCGGTTGTCTATTCCGCTGAAACTTCTTGAAATAAATCTACATTTAATTATCTGCAAAATGGTGTATAACACGCCTATTTCCATTGTCGGAATCATTTGTAACAGACAGGCCTTCCAAGTATGTCAACCGTATTTATTTCGTCTTTTCACAGCCAAATGGAAATGTTAATCTTGCAGTGACTGATTAATTATAATTGATCCAGAAAAAGGAGCAAACATAAAATGAAGGTGCAAGCATGATGTTAAACCAAGGGATGTTAGATAGTTATGATTGACAGGTGGAGATACAGAAACACTATACACACGTTGTAAATGGAAAAAAAAGTCAAATATTTGATAAATATAGGAAAAAAGTCACAAATCTGGTAGGAAATAATGTCCATTTTTGTACAAACGTTTAATAGTATTCAATTTCTTTTCTCCTTTTTAAAGTCAGATCTTTCATTGGTAAATAAATGACATAAAAAAAAACATAAAATACTTATATTTTTTAAGGTTTTAAGTGTTGTCATTTATTTACCTATGAAAGATCTAACTTTAAAAAAGGAGAAAAACGTATAATCTGTCTCAACATCAGATGATTGACAGGAACTATAAATAGTAAATTGAATAAAATTGAGAATGGAAATGGGGAATGTGTCAAAGAGACAACCCGACCATAGAACAGACAACAGCCGAAGGCCACCAATGGGTCTTCAATGCAGCGAGAAACTCCCGCACCCGGAGGCGTCCTTCAGCTGGCCCCTAAACAAATATGTATACTAGTTCAGTGATAATGGACATCATACTAAACTCTAAATTATACACAAGAAACTAAAATTAAAAATGATACAAGACTAACAAAGGCCAGAGGCTCCTGACTTGGGACAGGCGCAAAAATGCGGCTGGGTTAAACATGTTTTTTGAGATCTCAAACCTCCCCTATACCTCTAGCCAATGTAGAAAAAATAAACGTACAACAGTACGCACAGTAAAACTCAGTTTAAGAGAAGTCCGAGTCCGATGTCAGAATAAGAAAACAAAAGAAAATAAACAAAATGACAATAATACATAAATAACAACAGACTACTAGCAGTAACTGACATGCCAGCTCCAGACCTCAATTGAACTGATTGAAAGATTATGTATTCATCATATGAATATCAGGCACAATCCCTCCTGTTAGGGGTTTAGTATTATACCGTCATAAAATATATGAGAAGAACATAATCCGTGTCATGCCAACAACTGGTTTTAGAATAAATATGTTTAATTCCGATGCAAAGACCCTATAAGTGAATCAATATTAAAGCCAAAATATGCAATTTTTAATGACCTGACAACAGTATCGTAACTATATCCCTTCTTAATAAGTCTGTTTAAAGGTTTTGTTAGCTTTTGAGGTGAATACTGACAATTTTCCTCAGACTTTTTATGTACATAGGTATAAATGTTTGTGCCTAAATGGTTATGAAAATCTTTTAAAAAAATTAATATATATATACGGTATTCAAAAAATTTAAATTCTCATTATTGTGACTTTATTTCCTGTTACTTTTTTTCCATGACGATTTGTTTTGCAACTTTTTTCCATGACTTTTTTTCCTGTGATTTTTTCCTACATTCATGCACATACTAAGCAGTAGTCAGATTTCCCCTGAGAGTAAATATCCACCTATTTTTACACTTGTATAGACGACTTTCAAATTAAAGCACTTTCCCCTGCATTTCCTACATGTATGTCACAATGCTTATGTTTTAACCACACAGGAAGAATGGATTGTTAAATAGTGTCATTTACAATGGTTTACCAAGAGTAACTCATTTATAAAAAAAACCAACTAGACATTGGTGTATACAGAGCAACACTGATCATCCTGGATACTAAGCATTCCGCTATTTTCTGGGTATCACATTTGAGTAAGTGGTTTCAACCTAAAGATAATCATATCTCTGTTAAACAGTGGGAACAAGGATTTCAATTGGCAAATTGAACAGTGACTTCATATTTCTGAAGTACAAATTCTATCCAAAGACGGCAAAGTAAAAATTATGTGGAACAGCACGATATTTTTTTCTCAGTAAAAAAAGCTGCCAAACAGGATGTAAATTATCCCTACAATATACAAGATGACACTATAGATAAAAGTTTAATTATTTCTGAAATAAAATATACTAAAAATTGTTTTAAATTAAAAGAAGTTGTTATTTTTTATTTCGTGATTTGTTTTCAGTTACCGCAAAGCCATCCGGATGTTGTGAGCGGCGTGACTTTTTACCCCAATATACCCCAACATACCCCAATATACCTCAAAAAGCAGTTTAAACATAATTTGGTTGAATAACAATGTTACACTAGGCATTAAAATGTTATTTTAACGACACTAAGACTTCATTTTATGAATATATTTAATTTTAAATCTCTTTTTTCCTCGTAAATTGTTCTGTTCATGTCAGCCGCTTGCGATCACAAAATGACTTTTTACCCCAATATACCCAAATATACTCCAATAAACAGTTTGAATACAATTTCCATGATAAGGAACGATATTACATGCAGATATATTAATATTGAACACAACTGTTTACATTTTTTGTGCATTTAGAGGCTTTTAAAACAGTTCTTTTTTCATGTATTGACGAAGGTTACACTAAAAACCCGAACGAACGAACCTAAAAATAAACCGGTAAATTTTTGCAATTTCTTTTTTCTCCCTTAAAATGTTGAGATTGTAAATGCATTTTGTGTTTTGTTTTCTCTTAAAAATAAGATATGATGTTTTTTTTCTAAAATAAAACTCGAAATTTTTTCTCAAATTTGGATGAATTTCTCAAATATTTGTTTTCTTTGAAAATAATATATGTTTAACATTTAAAGTTTTCTTTTTATGTTTATAAAACGTTTGTATCTTTCACTCACTAAAGACATTAGTCAGCGGAAATTCAATGTTGGTCAGGTCGGTGTGTTCACGTTTCTCAGACCAACATCTGATATTGTTTGTCATGCCAAGAAATCCTTGCTCATAACTCCGATGGACCTCCTACGGCATCCATTAATAGTTAAATATTAAATAGAAAAATATAAAACTTTCAAATGTAGCGTTTACAAAATAAAAATATTCCCTACGGAACACCCCCAACCCTTTTTTTTGCGCTCTCTATTTTCAACCCTCGAATCAAGCTTTCCAAACTAATTAATTTAAAAATTAAAACCTAGCTTTCTAACCGATCTATTCATGTACCGGACCGGCAACTCTCGTTATTTTATAAGAAAATCTACAATGCTGTTATACACATGCGTGTTGTCTGCTTGGAGTCTCCGCACAGGCACTTGACTCAGAATACATACCGAATATGGAAAGTGGAACTACAATTCAAAACATTAAGTCCGAAGGCACATTGAAGAACAACGTTTTTTTTTTTTTTTTTTTTTTTGCAAAGGTTGCCGTGGTAACCCTCCCTGTCACTGGTGTTAAACTGATAATCGTAACTGGAATTACGACGATCCCAATATGGCGACGGCAGAAATAGGTAAAATCTTTTCAGTCATTTTTCTCAAATGTAGCCCGTTGTTGGCAAGATTTATTCATCTGCAAGGTTTTTCTATACCATTACATCATATTTGAATCGTAACCAGGTAACGGTGCACTATAATTGTCTAAGCGCTTAGAAAGTTGCCGTCGAAAAATTCGGGATGATAATCGTAACTCGCAAAAATGATGATCGTAATTTCGGTATTAATAAACAAGAAGATAATCGTAACTGGATAGTGTTTGATTGGTATTGACACGAAAAACGTCTATCTAATAGCATATGATGAAAATATGGTGATGAATTAATCACGAAAACGTTCCCACATCTTATGACATTTCTTTTTGTGCATATATGATTAACAGTTCTAATGTAAACAGCTACATACTAGTATATATCATAAAATTGGAAGGGGGACCAGCTTCAATAAACACGAACTATGTTAAAATACTGAAAACTCCAGGAACTAGGACCGTCACAAAATATGGGAGAAAATTAAAAAAAATGTCATCATGATCTCTTCATGTTTAGAGTTAAAAAGAAATATTGTTTGGTATTCTATTTAAATACGGACTTGAAAACAAATGTCACACCTTTTTGAATGTGTAAAAAGTTGTATAGCCCATAAATACTATAAAAATGCTTAGCTACTTCATGACCGTCACTGACATTTCAATATCTCAGAAAATAACTATAAATTTTAACAACACCAATTTAGTTTGGCATTCTAATAATATGACATCCTTAAAACTTTTAATGATAATATAAGAGTAGAGAAAAGTTGGAATGCTTTGTGTGTTATGGAGTTAAGCACATGGTGACGTGGAGTTCATTGGCAAACATGGATTTGTGTTCTTTAATAGTTTGGCCAAAAGCCCGAAGATCAAGAAATCAAATTGATGTGGCCTTAAATTACCGTACAAGCTATATGTATTCAAACAATGACAGCAACTTTAAGAAATCATAGCGCATATTCCGCCATATCAGAAACAAACTGATTCAAGAAATCATAAATACTTGGTATATCAAAAATATGCTGCATACATATGCATGGAAGATATTGTAGAGAAAAAATATTGAAGGTAACAAAGAACATTTTTGTACTTGCATAATTACCATATACTTAGTACTTTTCTATCAAATGAAAACAAAAATTAGCCTTTCATAATTGTCATGCATTTTTCTGAAGCACAAAATATTTGTTTGATTATCTATTAAAGTCTTTGTAATTAAACCAGTTTCGACCGTGATGATCTACATATTATGCCTTCTGAGGACCAATACACATATATATAATATATTTGTGTTTTTTTTTTCAGTCCTTCAAATGCTTCGCAAGACTATACGCGCCATTTAGTTAAGGCTAATAAAACAATAAACACAAGTAACAATAAACACAAGTAACAATAAACACAAGTAACAATAAACACATGGAACAATAAACACAAGGAACAATAAACACAAGGAACAATAAACACAAGGAACAATAAACACAAGTAACAATAAACAATAGTAACAATAAACTGGTAACTATTCTAGATCCTTTACCATCCACCCTGTTTAAAGAAACGTCCTAAAATACATGGGTATTTAATCAAAATATTTGAATTTAATTTTTAAAATCATATAAAGTATTAGTGTAAAACAGAACAAAAGTGAATTCACTTGAAAAATATGAACGGCTATTGAAATATAAGGAAAAGGGCAAAATGCAAACTCATATCCACCAATCAAAGTATCAACTGTTAAATCCAATAAAAGTCAAATTTGATAAAATACGCATTGGGGTTACAAACTTTCCCACCCATTGCCTCGGCAGTTCTGTATGGCTAGGGATTATAGACTCTGCTTTAATAAAAAGCTATTGGATAGTACAACAGTGGGAGGGTAAAGAATTTCTAGGGTGAGCATCCCTAAAGGCCGAAACATCGAAATAAGGCAAAATTCGATCAAATACGCATTGGGGACACCCACTTTTACGACCCATTGTCTCGGTAGTTCTTTATGGCTAGGGATTATAAACGGACCCTAACGTATAGCTATTGGATAGTACTACAACGTGAGGGTAAAGAATTTCTGGGGTAAGCATTCTTAAAGGCCGGAAATTTCGTCCGTAACACGGAAAAAAAGTCAAATTTGATAAAATACGCATTGGGGCCACCAACTGTCCAACCCATTGCCTCGGCAGTTCTGTATGGCTAGGGATTATAGACTCTGCTTTAATACATAGCTATTGGATAGTACTACAGCGGGAGGGTAAAGAATTTCTGGGGTAAGCATTCTTAAAGGCCGGAAATTTCGTCCGTAACACGGGAAAAAAGTCAAATTTGATAAAATACGCATTGGGGTCACAAACTTTCCCACCCATTGCCTCGGCAGTTCTGTATGGCTAGGGATTATAGACTCTGCTTTAATAAATAGCTATTGGATAGTACTACAGCAGGAGGGTAAAGAATTTCTGGGGGTAAGCATTCCTAAAGGCCGAAAATGTCGTCCGAAACATGGAAATAAAGTCAAATTCGATCAAATACGCATTGGGGACACCCACTTTTACGACCCATTGTCTCGTTAGTTCTTTATGGCTAGGGATTATAAACGTACCCTAACGAATAGCTATTGGATAGTACTACAACGTGTGGGTAAAGAATTTCTGGGGTAAGCATTCCTAAAGGCCGGCAATTTCGTCCGTAACACGAAAAAAAAGTCAAATTTGATAAAATACGCATTGGGGTCACAAACTTTCCCACCCATTGCCTCGGCAGTTCTGTATGGCTAGGGATTATAGACTCTGATTTAATAAATAGCTATTGGATAGTACTACAGTGGGAGGGTAAAGAATGTATGGGGTAAGCATTCCTAAAGGCCGAAAATGTCGTCCGAAACATAGAAATAAAGCCAAAAATTCGATCAAATACGCATTGGGGTCACCAACTTTCCAACCCATTGCCTTGGCAGTTCTGTATGGCTAGGGATTATAGACCCTGTCCTAATGAATAGCTATTGGATAGTACTACAACGTGAGGGTAAAGAATTTCTGGGGTAAGCATTCTTAAAGGCCGGAAATTTCGTCCGTAACACGGGAAAAAAGTCAAATTTGATAAAATACGCATTGGGGTCACAAACTTTCCCACCCATTGCCTCGGCAGTTCTGTATGGCTAGGGATTATAGACTCTGCTTTAATAAATAGCTTTTGGATAGTACTACAGCAGGAGGGTAAAGAATTTCTGGGGGTAAGCATTCCTAAAGGCCGAAAATGTCGTCCGAAACATGGAAATAAAGTCAAATTCGATCAAATACGCATTGGGGACACCCACTTTTACGACCCATTGTCTCGGTAGTTCTTTATGGCTAGGGATTATAAACGTACCCTAAGGTATAGCTATTGGATAGTACTACAGCGGGAGGGTAAAGAATTTCTGGGGTAAGCATTCTTAAAGGCCGGAAATTTCGTCCGTAACACGGAAAAAAAGTCAAATTTGATAAAATACGCATTGGGGTTACAAACTTTCCCACCCATTGCCTCGGCAGTTCTGTATGGCTAGGGATTATAGACTCTGCTTTAATAAAAAGCTATTGGATAGTACTACAGTGGGAGGGTAAAGAATTTCTAGGGTGAGCATCCCTAAAGGCCGAAAATGTCGTCCGAAACATGGAAATAAGGCCAAATTCGATCAAATACGCATTGGGGACACCCACTTTTACGACCCATTGTCTCGGTAGTTCTTTATGGC